AACACCCCTTCATCCTCTAAGTTTCTACAAGCAAAAACTTTAAAAAAAGATATTCCCTTGATAGCTGAATGAGGTGGAGTGAATGAGATGTTGCTGTGTGCCTGGCTGCCCCTACACTGAGCAGGGAAAGAACTGGTTAAACTCAGTGACTCCTGGGGGGGGGGAGCACTATACTTATAACTGTATGCAGTTACTACATGAATTGATTAATTATACTATTTTCTATATGAATTCCTATTCCCTAATAGGGACACAGGGCAAAACCTGACAAAACATCCACTGAAAGAAGGACATTCTGTAATTTACACTGAACAATGCTACGTATTTGCATTTTGTCCTCCCACTGACATTGGGGCATTTCGTACTACCACTGACATTGGGACATTTCCTTCTCCCACTGACATTGGGGCATTTCATCCTCCCACTGACATTGGGACATTTCATCATCCCACGGACATTAGGACATTTCCTTCTCCCACTGACATTGGAACATTTCGTCCCCCCACTGACATTGGAACATTTCGTCCCCCCCACTGACATTGGGACATTTCGTCCTCCCACTGACATTGGGACATTTCGTACTACCACTGACATTGGGACATTTCATCATCCCACGGACATTAGGACATTTCCTTCTCCCACTGACATTGGGACATTTCGTCCTCCCACTGACATTAGGACATTTCATCCTCCCCACTGACATTGGGACATTTCATCCCAATACTGACATTGGAACATTTCTTCCTCCCACTGACATTGGGGCATTTCTTCCTCCCACTGATATTGGGACATTTCATCATCCCCCCCACTGACATTGGGGCATTTCATCCCCCCACTGACAATGGGACATTTCATCCCCCACTGACATTGGGGCATTTCATCCTCCTACTGACATTGGGGCATTTCCTCCTCCCACTGACATTGGGACATTTCATCCTCCCACTGACATTGGGACATTTCATCCTTCACACTGACATTGGGGCATTTCATCCTCCCACTGACATTGGACATTTCATCCTTCACACTGACATTGGGGCATTTCATCCTTCCACTGACATTGGGGCATTTCATCCTCCCACTGACATTGGGACATTTCCTTCTCCCACTGACATTGGGGCATTTCATGCTCCCACTGACATTGGGACATTTCATCCTTCACACTGACATTGGGACATTTCCTCCTCCCACTGACATTGGGGCATTTCATCCTCCCACTGACATTGGGGCATTTCATCCTCCCACTGACATTGGGGCATTTCATCCTCCCACTGACATTGGGGCATTTCATCCTCCCACTGACATTGGGGCATTTCATCCTCCCACTGACATTGAGACATTTCATCCTCCCACTGACATTGGGGCATTTCGTCCTCCCACTGACTTTGGGACATTTCGTCCCTCCCACTGACATTGTGGCATTTCATCCCCCCACTGACATTGGGGCATTTCATCCTCCCACTGACATTGGGGCATTTTATCCCCCCACTGACTTTGGGACATTTCGTACCCCCCACTGACATTGGGGCATTTCATCCCCCCACTGACTTTGGGACATTTCGTCCCCCCCACTGACATTGTGGCATTTCATCCCCCCACTGACATTTGGACATTTCATCCTCCCACTGACATTGGGGCATTTCCTTCTCCCACTGACATTGGGGCATTTCCTTCTCCCACTGACATTGGGGCATTTCATCCTCCCACTGACATTGGGACATTTCATCCTCCCACTGACATTGAGACATTTCATCCTCCCACTGACATTGGGGCATTTCCTTCTCCCACTGACATTGGGGCATTTCATCCTCCTCCCACTGACATTGGGGCATTTCATCCTCCCACTGACATTGGGGCATTTCCTTCTCCCACTGACATTGGGGCATTTCATCCTCCCACTGACATTGGGGCATTTCATCCTCCCACTGACATTGAGACATTTCATCCTCCCACTGACATTGAGACATTTCATCCTCCCACTGACATTGAGACATTTCATCCTCCCACTAACATTGGGACATTTCATCCCCCTACTGACATTGGGGCATTTCGTCCTCCCACTGACTTTGGGACATTTCGTCCCTCCCACTGACTTTGGGACATTTCGTCCCTCCCACTGACATTGTGGCATTTCATCCTCCCACTGACATTGGGGCATTTCATCCTCCCACTGACATTGGGGCATTTCATCCTCTCCCTGACATTGGGGCATTTCATCCCCCCACTGACTTTGGGGACATTTCGTCCCTCCCACTGACATTGTGGCATTTCATCCTCCCACTGACATTGGGGCATTTCATCCCCCCACTGACTTTGGGACATTTCGTCCCCCCCCCACTGACATTGTGGCATTTCATCCCCCCACTGACTTTGGGACATTTCGTCCCCCCCACTGACATTTGGACATTTCATCCTCCCACTGACATTGGGGCATTTCCTTCTCCCACTGACATTGGGGCATTTCCTTCTCCCACTGACATTGGAACATTTCGTCCTCCTATCAGCATGGCACATCCTGACTTGACAATATTTGCCCACTCTTCCATGCAGGAACACTCCAAGTCTGTCAGATTGCAAGGGCATCTCCTGTGCACAGCCCACTTTAGATCACCCCACAGATTTTCGATGGGATTCAGGTCTGGGCTCTGGCTGGGCCATTCCAAAGCATCTTCTGGTGAAGCCATTCCTTTGTTGATTTGGATGTATGCTCCAGAAACGTTGAGTAGGGAAAAAAATGTCATTGGCCTCTACCTGTAAAACATTCCTGTTTTGGAGGTGGAGTCATTGTTGCCCATCTAGTGCACCTGAAATTAATTAACAACCCCCTCTGCTACTTAACTGACTTGTTGCTATACTCTGATTAAAAAGTCTATCTTTAACCCCTCACCCTCCTGAAGATTTCCCCCCTTTCCTGAACAGGTCATTTTTTGCATTACAGCGCTGCGTTACTTTAACTGACAATTGACAGATGAAATTTCCATCCTTTTTTTCCCACTAGTTGATCTTTCTTTCGGTGGTATTTGATCGCCTGTGCGTTTTTTATTTTCTGCGCTATAAAAACGAAAAAATGGCCCACAATTTTGAGGAAAAAAAACCAATATTTTTTTACTTTTTGCTATAAAACATGTCCAGCGAATTTTTTTTTTTAAAAAAATCACATTTTGGCGTAAATTTAGACCAAAATGTATTCTGCTCCGTGTCTTTGCTAAAAAAAATCCCAATACATGTAAATGAATTGGTTTAGGTGAAAGTTATAGTGTTTACAAATGGCGGTATAGATACTTGGATTTATTTTTTCCTACTAGTAATGGCAGCGATCAGTGACTTTTAGCGGGACTGCGGTGGTCATTCTGACACTGGGGGGAAATAACTTGGTGTCACTGACATCCACAGTGACACCAATACAGTGATCAGTGCTAAAAAGCAGCACTGACACTGTACTAATGGCACTGGCCAAGGAAGGGGTTAATGTGAGGGGTGATCAAAGGGTTATCTGTGTGCTGGGTGTGTTTTACTAGGGGGTGGGGTGGGGGTGTGTGCTTCACTGTAAGCACACTGATTGGGATGGCTGTGCTGTGCACAGCCATCCAGAGCAGTGTGCCTGAGCCAACAGGTAGGAAGACTGTTTGTAAACAAAGCAGTCTTCATCCCCGTCGGTGATTGTCAGTAATCACTGGGCGCCGGTTGATAATCACTGGCCAGACCTGGTGATTGACATCTGCGGCCACAAATGGCGGGGCCGGTAGGGCTCGTGAGTGCCCCCTACCCAGAAATGCAAAATCACGTATATATACGTGATTTTGCGCACCCTTGCCGCCGTGTAGCAGTATATCTGCTATATGGCGGCGGGTAAGCGGTTAACTTCAGTCACAGCTGCAGTTTATTTCTATCTACAGGCACCCCTTACTTGCATAGGCAGATTTTTGGTAAAGGTGAACTAACCAGTGGTGTATTTTGGTTTTGTGCTGCACTAGGCAAGACTAAAATCAAGCACCCCCCTCATCTAAATGGGTCCCACCCCTTGCTGTTTAAGATCCACCCCTTCATCTGTACATTCCACCCCTTCCTCTTTAGGCTCCACCTCTTCCTATTAGAGCTCCACCTATTCTTCTCATTAAAAGTCGATAATGAGTGCATATATTTTGCCCAGCCATTGGTATCAGTAGGAGGAATAGTGCCCCATCATTGGTATCTGTGGGAGGAATAGTCCCCCATCATTGGTATCAGTGGGAGGAATAGTGCCCCATCATTGATGTCAGTGGGAGGAATAATGTCCCATCATTGGTATCAGTGGGGGAATAGTGCCCCATCATTGGTATCAGTGGGAGGAATAGCGCCCCATCATTGGTGTCAGTGGGGGAATAGTGCCCCATCATTGGTGTCAGTGGGAGGAATAGTGCCCCATCATTGGTGTCGTTGGGAGGAATAGTGCCCCATCATTGGTATCAGTGGGAGGAATAGTGCCCCATCATTGGTATCAGTGAGAGGAATAATGCCCCATCATTAGTGTCAGTGGGTGGGAATAGTGCCCCATCATTGGTATCAGTGGGAGGAATAGTGCCCCATCATTGGTATCAGTGGGAGGAATAGTGCCCTACCATTGGTGTCAGTGGGAGGAATAGTGCCCTACCATTGGTGTCAGTGGGAGGAATAGTGCCCCATCATTGGTGTCAGTGGGAGGAATAGTGCCCCATCATTGGTGTCAGTGGGAGGAATAGTGCCCTACCATTGGTGTCAGTGGGAGGAATAGTGCCCCATCATTAGTGTCAGTGGGAGGAATAGTGCCCCATCATTGGTGTCAGTGGGGGGAATAGTGCCCATCATTGGTATCAGTGGGAGGAATAGTGCCTCTATCATTGGTGTCAGTGGGAGGAATAGTGCCCCATCATTGGGTCAGTGGGAGGAATAGTGCCCATCATTGGTATCATTGGGAGGAATAGTGCCCCATCATTGGTTTTAGTGGGAGGAATAGTGCCCCATCATTTGTATCATTGGGGGAATAGTGCCCCATCATTGGTGTCAGTCGGGGGAATAGTGCCCCATCATTGGTGTCAGTGGGAGGAATAGTGCCCCATCATTGGTTCAGTGGGAGGAATAGTGCCCCATCATTTGTATCATTGCGGAGGAATAGTGCCCATCATTGGTATCAGTGGGGGAGGAATAGTGCCCCATCATTGGTGTCAGTGGGAGGAATAGTGCCCCATCATTGGTATCAGTGGGAGGAATAGTGCCCCATCATTGGTGTCAGTGGGAGGAATAGTGCCCCATCATTGGTTTTAATGGGAGGAATAGTGCCCCATCATTTGTATCATTGCGGGGAATAGTGCCCCATCATTGGTGTGTCAGTGGGAGGAATAGTGCCCCATCATTGGTGTCAGTGGGAGGAATAGTGCCCCATCATTGGTATCAGTGGGAGGAATAGTGCCCCATCATTGGTATCAGTGGGGAATAGTGAATAGTGCCCCATCATTGGTGTCAGTGGGAGGAATAGTGCCCCATCATTGGTGTCAGTGGGAGGAATAGTGCCCCATTATTGGTTTTAGTGGGAGGAATAGTGCCCCATCATTTGTATCATTGCGGGGAATAGTGCCTCATCATTGGTATCAGTGGGAGGAATAGTGCCCCATCATTGGTGTCAGTGGGAGGAATAGTGCCCCATCATCAGTGGAGGAATAGTCAGTGGGAGGAATAGTGCCCCATCATTGGTATCAGTGGGAGGAATAGTGCCCCATCATTGGTGTCAGTGGGAAGGAATAGTGCCCCATCATTGGTGTCAGTGGGAGGAATAGTGCCCCATCATTGGTATCAGTGGAAGGAATAGTGCCCCATCATTGGTGTCAGTGGGAGGAATAGTGCCCCATCATTGGTGTCAGTGGGAGGAATAGTGCCCCATCATTGGTGTCAGTGGGAGGAATAGTGCCCCATCATTGGTATCAGTGGGAGGAATAGTGCCCCATCATTGGTGTCAGTGGGAGGAAGGAATAGTGCCCCATCATTGGTGTCAGTGGGAGGAATAGTGCCCCATCATTGGTATCAGTGGGAGGAATAGTGCCCCATCATTGGTTTTAGTGGGAGGAATAGTGCCCCATCATTGGTTTTAGTGGGAGGAATAGTGCCCCATCATTGGTCAGTGGGAGGAATAGTGCCCCATCATTGGTATTCAGGAGTAATAGTGTCCCATGTGGAGGAATAGTGCCCCATCATTGGTGTCAGTGGGAGGAATAGTGCCCCATCATTGGTGTCAGTGGGAGGAATAGTGCCCCATCATTGGTTTTGTCAGTGGGAGGAATAGTGCCCCATCATTGGTATTCGTAGGAGTAATAGTGTCCCATGTGGGAGGAGTAGTGTCCCTAGGGAAACGCCTTGTTGGCCTCATGGCAAATACGCCCCTGGAACTAACTAATGATGCACTGATATATCGGCCGCCGAAAATCATCAGCTGAAAATGGGGTTATTGGCATTTTGCTGATAGAAAAAAAAACAACCCCTATTGACCTCAATGCAAAATCGCGTCCCATTGACTTTAAGGCAAAATCATGTCCCAATGACTTCAATGCAAACTCGCACCCCATTGACTTCAATGCAAAATTTGTGTTCTCATTACCGTCTGTGCAAGAACATCCCCTAATAACGTCAAAGCAAAATTGTGCCACATCGACTTCAATGCAAAAGCGTGTCCCATTGACTTCAATGCAAAAGCGCGTCCCATTGACTTCAATGCAAAAGCGCCTCTATTTAGGTTTTTTCATTTTATATATAGTTCATGTTATTTTCTGTCCAATTTTTGTGTTTCACCTTCGATAAAAGTTACTTTACGTTACTGAACTGTATTTTTTAAATTCATGATATCAATAAAAAAAGTAAAATAGAATACTATTATATATTAAAAAAATTGTTTTTTTTTTAAACTGTTCGTTTCGGTGTTGGGCAAGGGCTTCCTCAATTTTCAGTTTAGGTCCAGAATTTTCATTTCGGTGCACCACTAGAACCCTTTAAATCGGAGGCCTCCTCCATAGGGGTGTTTACCTGCACACTTCGGACTCCAGCAGATTCTTGCGGCTTGTACAAAGTAATGACAGGCTGAGAGGAGTCGTTCACATGGATCTGCAAACTCAGCGATTTTGTGCGTTTAGGGAGAGATGAACGACCTCGGACGCATCGATCTGCATCTGGAGTCCTTCACCTGTCCCTGAGCACATGAAACCGCTGAGTTTACTGATGCGTGTGAACGGCGACGGCTCTTCTCAGCCTATCATTACCTCTGTACCGCTGTTTGCCCGCATCGGTCGTCTGCCGATTCTTGGCGCTGGAATGCGGCGTATCCAAATAGTCGCCTGTGTGAAGGAGGCCTAGGGCCCCTTTCACAGGGCTGGATGGGTGCGGCCGCCAGACTCCTGCGGGAAAATCTGTGGATTCTTGCTGCTGGAATGCTGGTTATGCGATCAGCCCAATTAAACAAATGGCAGGCTGACAGCGACCGATGCCGCTCACATGCAGGAGCGCACAGAGGGGCAGGGCTGCGCAAACTCATGTACTGAAATATATATATATATATATATACATGATTTGCATTTCTGGGTAGGGGGTGGGTGAGCACGGGCCGCCCTACCTGTGCCGCCATTGGCAGCTACGGATGTCGATCACCGAGTCCTGCCTGGAGATTTTCCGCCGACACCCGGCGATCGCCCAGTAACACTGACAAGGGAGAGACCTGTATGCAAACAACACAGGTCTCTCTCCTGCCAGCAAGGACATGCTGCTTTGTATTGCTCTGCACAGCATGTCTCCCAAATAAAACACAGCGCACAGTTAACCCTTTGATCGCCCCACATGTTAACCCCTTCTTGCCGACCCACCTAGAAGAAAAAGATATTTTAAAAATATTCTTCCCAAATATATTGACATATATTTGAAATACTACAATTCTGGGCGTATTCAATATATTTCAAAATATATATATACTGTATGTTGAAATGCATTTTTTATCTATATCACAAAATTTATGAAAAATAACTAACTTGCCGACCTCCTCCACTCTTCCTACCACCCCATCCCCCACAGCGATCTCCTCCTGTACCACCATCCCCTCCCTCCTAGATTGTAAGCTCAAAAGAGCAGGGCCCTCGATCCCCTCATGTTTTGCATTGTATTGGTATTGTTCTGTCACATGTTCTGTCCCCCTTTGTAATGTACAGCGCTGAGCCAACTATTGGTGCTTTATATATACTGTATAATAATAATAATAATAATAATTTGGTAAAATATATATTTAGATTTTTATATATTGTTCAGATTCCTTTTAACATATGAAAAAGTCATTTTAACATATATTTTTACATATATTTGTAAATGCATTCCAAAGGTGTAGATTTTAAAGACATACAGTATATTTGAAATGTATTTTTAAAAATATTTTTCATATATTTTGTATAAAAAAAAGCATTTCAACATGCAGTATGTATATATATATATATATATATATATATATATATATATATATATATATATATATAATTTATTTATTGAAATATAATTTAAAATATATTGAATACGGCCAAAATTGTAGCTTATCAAATATATGTCAATATATTTGGGAAGAAAATTTTTTAATTATATTTCAAAAATATTTTTCTTCCATGTGGGTGATTGGACGGCGCTTCACAGTACAGATGGACAAAGTCATTTTAACATATATTTTTACATATATTTGTAAATGCATTCCAAAAATGTAGAATAAATGTATTTTTAAACATATTTTTCATATTGTTTGTAATATATAAAAACATGCATTTCAACATCCAGTATATATATATATATATATATATATATATATATATATATATATATATATATATATATATATAATTTTTTATTTTTTTTTATTGAAAATATATTTTGAGATATATTGAATACAGCCAAAATTGTAAAAATTGTAGCATTTCAAATATATGTCAATATATTTGGGAAGAATATTTTTAAAATATATTTCAAATAATTTTTCTTCCATGTGGGTGTTTGGACGGCGCTTCACAGTACAGATGGACAATGGTCATATATTTTTAGATATATTTGTAAATGCATTACAAAAATGTAGATTAAATGTGTTTTTAAAGACATACAGTATATTTGAAAATGTATTTTATAATGTATTTAATGTATTAATATATTTAATAGTCTGTAATATATAAAAAATGCATTTTAACATACAGTGTATATATATATATATATATATATATATATATTTTTTTTTTTTTTTTTTTTAAATATATTGAATACGGCCAAAATTGTAGTATTTCAAATATATGTCAATATATTTGGGAAGAATATTTTAAAAATATATTTAAATATATTTTTCTTCCATGTGGGTGTTTGGACGGCGCTTCACAGTACAGATGGACAATGGTCATATATTTTTAGATATATTTGTAAATGCATTACAAAAATGTAGATTAAATGTGTTTTTAAAGACATACAGTATATTTGAAAATGTATTTTATAATGTATTTAATGTATTAATATATTTAATAGTTTGTAATATATAAAAAATGCATTTTAACATACAGTGTATATATATATATATATATATATATATATATATTTTTTTTTTTTTTTCATTTTTATTTTTAAATATATTGAATACGGCCCAAAATTGTAGTATTTCAAATATATGTCAATATATTTGGGAAGAATATTTTAAAAATATATATTTAAATATATTTTTATTCCATGTGGGTAGTGACATTAGTACAATGTCTTTTTATTAGCACTGATGACTGTATTGGTGTCACTGTAGAAGTCAGTTCCCCCCCAGTGTCAGACTGCCCACCACAGTTCCGCAGTCCCGCTATAAGTTGCTGATCGCTGTCATTACTAGTATAAAAAATAAAAAAAAATAGAGTCCAGTATACATACCAGCATTTGTAGACGCAATAACTTTCACGTAAACCAATGAATTTACACACATTTGGATTTTCTTTTTAGCAAAGACACAGAGCAGAATACATTTTGGCCTAAATTTATGACGAAATTTGATTTTTTTCATTTTTTATAGCAAAAAGTCAAAAATATGTTTTTTTCCTCAAAATTTTCAGTCTTTTTTTGTTTATAGCGCAAAAAATAAAAACTGCAAAAGCGATCAAATAACACCAAAAGAAAGCTCCATTTGTGGGGGGAAAAAAGACCAATTTAATTTGGGTGCAGAGTTTCATGACCGCGCAATTGTAACACAGCGCCGTATCGCAAAAATGGCCTGGTCAGGAAGGGGTGGTAAATTCTCTGGAGGGAGAGAGGGTTAAAGGAGAATTAAAAAAAAAAAATGTAGGTTAAACCCACAAGTAGGTTTTTTTTTTACCACTACTGTTCCCTTATATCGGCTTTTGAAATGTAAAATGCGTCAATTTAGAAATTGGATGAGAGGTTTAGCGCCGTAAACCACTTTTTGGTAGATAAATAATGCATTTCATAGACAACTACATAGTTGAGACCAAAATGAGGGAAAAATGAGGAGGAAGGAGGGGCAGAGGGACTTTGTTCCAAATGAGGGACAGTCCCTCGAAATCAGGGACAGTTGGAAGCTATGCCCCACGCAGGGTGCTTACACGGCCCCATCCTCTTGAATGGGTCGCAGGGTTACCAACTATCCGTAAATTCAGGGTCATTGTGTAAAATCTGTGATTTCTACATCTGTCCGTGAATGTCCATGAACCCCTTCAATACCGGGAACTTTCACCCCCTTCCTGCCCAGGCCAGTTTTCACACTTTGAATGACAATTGCACGGTCATGCAGCACTGTACCCACACTACGCTGTTATCATTTTTTTCACACAAAAATTACTTTCTTTTGGTGGTATTAAACCACCACTGGGGTATTTTTTTCTTTGCTAAATAAATAAAAAAAAAAACCCAAAATTTTGAAAAAAAGCGTTTTTTTTTTTTTTTTTTTCTGTTACAAAATTTTGCAAATAAACAATTGCTCTTC